AACTTCCTCTGCCCATTGGTCCATCATGCACTGAAGCAGAGATGTCTGAGGTATCAATGTCTTGTCAGTTTCCTCCAGCTGCTCTGAAAACTCATACAAAGGTGAAGAGAAGGAAGTCTCTCTCCAACCCCCCCGCTCCTCTGTTCTTTGGAGAGTGCCTTAGAAGCAGCAGAAAACAAGGTTTGTGCTGCTTCTGTACTGTTAAGCCCTGTGCACTAGGGGTATGTCTACACGGCCCATGTTACAGGGCTGCCGCAGCAGCATTGTGAAGTGGGCAGTGTAGACACGTTTTATCGCTGAGGAGAGCTCTCCCGGTGATAAATAAAAACCACCCCGAACGAGCAGTGGGAGCTTTATTGCCGGGTGCGCGGCTCCCAGCAATAAAGCGCTGTCTATACTGGTGCTTTTCAGCACTAAAACTTTTGTCACTCAGGGGTGTGTTTTTTCAAACCCCAGAACAACAAAAGTTTTGGCGCTGAAAGCGGCAGTATAGAGACAGCCTAGGATTATTTTATTTCTTACTGGTACTACTAAAGGTTTCAGTGAACCAGTGTTAGCAATGACTAGTATAGACAGGCTCCTGCTTCTAGACCAGTGGTTCCCAAACTTTAACAACCTGTGAATTCCTTTCACTAAAATGTCAAGTCTTGCGAACGACCCTCCCCCCTAAAAATGAATATTTCCAGGGATTTTCTCCTTTACTTGAGTATAAATTATAAAAGCAGTGATCTTGGAAATATAACATTTGTTTTGATGAGATGCTTATTAAATAATAATTAATAATAAATAGTGTGTATCATTATAGTACTTTTATTACATTATGAAAACAGCAACACTCTTCCAAGATCTCACTTTTGAAGCCTGTATCACTTTGAATAAGCCTGTTATAAGACAAGGCTCCTATGTTTCATCAAGGAGTATCAGATGTGAAACAGCATGAAGGTATTTAAGAAGCCAATTCAAATTGTTCCTCCTACATAAGTATTCAGGTCTTGAGCAGTGCAGGTAAACAACGCACATTACAACAAAGCTTAAACTTGTTCTTCATAATAATTTTAAAAACAATACTAGCTGCCTATTTAATTTTAAAAACAGCAAATAATATCCACCTCCCTTTCCATTTCTTATAAGGAGTCATGAAGTTTAAATCTCCTCAGTATGATAGATATGCTTGCTTTGATCTGCTTAGCTCTTGGAAGTCTAGGGGCTCCGTGCTGCTGGCCCCGTGCTGCCCGGAGTTCCTAGGGACAGCTCTGTCCACCATTAGGGAATTTTTTCCCGAGAACCCCCTGTAACATTTCGCGAACCCCAGTTTGGGAACCACTGTTCTAGACCTATTTTTATTTCCAGAAGCTGCAGGAGGGAAAGACAGCATTGATTCTCCCACCAATTTACTACATTTGAAAACAGGTCACCAGCCTTCCATGAGGCCCAACACGGAAGGCATTGAAGTACACCCCGCTGGCCAACACCCTGAGAGCCCAGGGCTATGAGGTCCAGATACACGCCCTGATTGTGGGAGCCCCGGGCTCATGGGGACCCCCACAACGAGCCGGTACCGAGAGTGTGCAGAGTCGGTCGACGCTACGCCCGGCTCATGAGACAGCTCATGGTGTCCGACACCATCAGGTGGTCCAGAGACATCTATATGGAACACATCACGGGACACCATCAATACCAGGTTGAGTAATCAAGACCGCCGATCAGGGAAATAACCCACTTCCTTCCCCGACGGACCAAGGGACGCACTCCACCCATGTACTTATTCGCTACACTAATACTGACTTGGACTCTTAATACATTCCATGGGTGGCGTACCCGAGCCCACTTATCCACTGACGCTTTAAAAACTCCCGCACCCCAATCTGGGTCTATGCTGGTTATGTGATATGTATGTAACTCATGATCCTTGTAAGCGATACCTGTAATCCCTCATAACTCAAGCCTGACCCCAGATGTACAGTACCTTCCCTCTTAACTTGTGTATATTTAATTTTAAACATTAACTTTAATAAAAATTTTAAATCTGTGCTTATACCCTTCGGAGTGGCTTTCTCTCACGGCTTCTAGCTAGCATGTGTCTATTTCAAGCCTGGCATATGAGACTAAAAATCACAACCAACACCCCATTAAATTAACCAACAACACTTGCTATGGCTATGGGTGTATATTTCAGTCAAGAGCACTTAATCATCATGCAGGTTTGGAAATAGTTGTAATGAAAGTTTATACACCTATAAGTCAGAAGTCCTTTTTAATCTGAAGAAAGGGGAAAACGATCTTGCAGATGGCAGCAGTACAGGAAACAAAACATATCTCTGGAATATCTGAAATTTACTGTAATGAACCCGTAAATGCAGAGGAACTGACTGGAAGGCTTAGTTGTAAAAGCTTCAGACTTGCAATGTTATGGTGAAGAGGCCCCCTACCGGCCACAACCCAATAATCTCCTCAGATGATTTAGTTGTACAATCAACTGTAGGAACAGCCTTGAGGCAACTGCAGCTAAAGGTGTGGTTAGCAGAGATATACATCCTCAGGGTGCATTGGAATCATTCATCTGTCATTTTGTGAGACGTCTTGAACTCCTGAACCTTATGGTAGCCTGCCCTATGTTATTCAATAACTAAAAATGCCCAGTGGAAAATTAAGTCTATCTTTGTAAAAAGAAATAACTCCTTATCTTCAGGCTGCCTGACTTTTTCATAAATCTAGCCACAACTGTGGCTCCTCACACACCAGTCTTGTCTGGCTTTTCTCCCCCTTCCTTGGGACAGCCTGACACAGCATGTAGAAGGGAAATGGATGAAGCAGAAATGATGAAATAAAATGAGGGAAAGCAGCAGAATGAAGCAATCCTTAATGCTGTAATATTCAGGGTTGCCTGGAGAACTTGACATTGTTTAGCAGCTAAAGGTCTTCTGCAGATTAAAATAAAGGAGGCTTAATGGCTATAGACAATTTCTGTTTATAATCCTTGTTCCTAACATGTTTATTTTCACATAGAGCAAGTAGCTGGTTTAGGCTTTTTCCAGCCACACTGACGTAGGAAATGATGTAAAATATGACAAGTGATTAAGCAGGGATGTAGGGAAGGGTTGTTTTATTTGAACTGCCACAAATCTAAGGCCTATAACCTTGGTATCCCAAGTGTCCTGCAGTTAGGGAGGGGAAGGTTCCCATTCCAGTATTGTAAAAGGATTTGTCCTTGTTTTTATTACTTGCCACAATGCACAGATACTAAAGCCATATCCACTAGTGTGACTGCTGCATCCTTCCTCCCTATCCACAGGGGATTCCGGCTGCAGGCACTATTAAGAGAACGCAGGGCTCATCCGGCCTTCTGTGGGAAGAATTTCTAACATCCAACCCTTCAGGTGTAGTAGAGGATCCAGAAAGTCCTTGATCTTTAAAACAGACTGACAGCTGAAATCTAACCACCTGTTTGCAGAGCATGGCTGAGATCTGCTCAGAATGCTCAGGGTTTTGCTGTTTGGTAGACTTTCTCCTGTATTATCACAGCTAAAGAACCATCTCCCCCTCACTGGGAAGAGCACCATTGGTCTCAATAGTTTTAAATCAAGAAGTGACACAGGGTCTCCAGCACCAGACTCCAGTATATGTGCTGAAATGATGATTAAATAGCCCTCACAAATGACTATCCTTCACTGGAAGAGGAGAAGCTCAGAACTGGGACCAGTGTAATGATCTTGATCAGAATGATGAGAATGCCCACATGTGAGAAGAGGGCAACAATGTCAGGGGCAGAGTCATCACCAGAACTGGATGTACATGAAGACTATTTATGAGATGGCTCTGACAAGATACATCTGCTCTCCAACCCCATGAAAAAAAACCCTGCACCACAAATAAGCCTCCAGCATCTCAGTCAGTATTGTGCTGACCCTCTGGAGATAACAGCAGGTGTGAAAGGATGTTTGACCTGTTATTTCTAGGCAGTAAAACAATATGTAAAACCCCAAGGAACATAGAGGACTTCACAAAGCTATAGGGAGAAGCCAAAGAGCTGCAACACACCAATTAGCACTCCTCTAGGACTGTTCTTATCCCTAACCTAAGGGGGCCCCCATGTCTTCTACCTTGGGGTGGCACCATAGCAGGGGTGCAATGAGAGTTCCTTTAAAGCGGGCAAAATGCTGCCACTGAGACTAATGACAGCCTAGCACCCTCACAACCACCACCAGGAGATGAGGGAATGCAGTCTGACTACGGACAGGATGGGGGTTGTAGCCTGATCAAGGAAATATAACAAGGTAGGGGTGGGAGGCGGAATGGAGGGAGGAGAAGCACAGTCTAACCGGGGGGCTGGAATAGAGGGATGGAGGGACACAGTCTGACTGGGAGCAGATGGGGGTTGGAGGGGTACAGTCTGACCGGGTGTGGGGGGCACAGTCTGACGGGGCATATGAGAAGTGAGGAGCACAGTCTGGCTAGGGAACATGGATGTGGAGGTGGCAGAGTCTGTCTGGGACCATAAGTATGGGGAGTGCAGGGCAGTCTGATAAGGGTTATGGGAGTGGTGGTGGGGAACACTCTGATGGGGGCACAGTCTGACTGGCAGGTATGGGGGTGAGGGGCACAGTCTGACTGGGGGCATGGGAGTGGGGGGCACACTCTGACATGCGGTTGTGGAAGTTGGGGCACGGCCTGACTGGTAGATATGGGGGAGGCACAGTATGACCCAGAGGGATGAGGGATGGGGGCCACGGGGCACAGTCTGACATGCGGTTGTAGAAGTTGGGGCACAGTCTGACTGGGGATGAGGGGCACAGCCTGACTGGTAGATATGGGGGAGGCACAGTCTGACACAGGGGGATGGGGGCCACGGGGCACAGTCTGACGGGGGGGGCAACCTGGCTCGCGGAGCCGGGGCAGTGCCGAGGGCGGGCTCCGGGCGCTGGGCTCTCGGACCAGAGCCGGCCCAGCGCGGCGGCAGCCCGAGGCCCGACCCGCGGGCCCCCCGCCCGCGCCGCACGCACCTTCTGGCGGATCTGGCCGGACGTGGAGACCTTGCGGATGAGCTTGTGCGGGGAGCCCGGCTCCTGCTCCGGCTCGCTGTCCGACGACTCTTCCGCCGCGGCGGCGGCAGCAGCGACCCCGGCCTGGGGCCGCGAGGCGCCCGCCGCCGCCATGCTGCAGGCTGAGGAGCGGGGCCGCCCAGCGCCCCCTAGCGGCCGGCGCGAGCGTCTCTGTGACGCGCCCTCTGGCGTGCAGAGGCGGAGCCGCACGGTCCAGCCGGGAGACCCCCCCCAACATCCCGGGCTGCCAGAAGGGCGCAGGCCCAGCGCGAGGGCTCACCTCGGGTAAGGTTCTGCGGTGGCCCTGGTCTGTCTCCTGAGGGCTCAACGCCTCCGCCCCCCACTGTGTGCGTGGGGGGCATCAGCACTGACCCCCTGCCCCACACATTGGCTGAGGGGAGTCTGGCCGCCCCCAGGAGCTCTTACCCCCAACCCCTCCGTTCAGCCCCCCCACGGGCCCCTAGCTCTCTCCGTTCAGGCCCCCCTTGCCCATCTCAGTTCAGTCCCCCCATTCGCCCCCAGCTCCCTCTGTTCAGCCCTCTCCCCACTGCTCTGATCTTCATCTCTACTGATGAGACAGGACCACCAATACCCGCCTCGCGGACCATCCTCTATGACTTCCCCCACACGAGCCCAGACAGTCCTGACGCACAGTGGCATTCAAATCCCAGTTCTCTAGTCAAAACCGGCGCCGTACTGGCCTGAGCCACTTTCACTATGATTGTGGACAGTACTCTCCCACGTTCCCCCAGTGCTAAAGATTATTCCCAACCTCCATCACACAGAAGACCATCCCCCTGGGCCTCCTTGATGGACTGTAGAGAGATGAGAGCTACTCCACAACTATGAGCATAGAGACACAGAAATTGGAAATGCCCTCCTGGCATCACTGTGCACTGGTATGGGCAAGAAGGTGCCAGACCCAACTTGTGGATGAGCAGCTGAATTAGACCATGCAAATCATCATGGGAACTTTAAAATCAACACCTCTACCGTGGCTTTCTAAATCAGCAAACATCAAACCTCAAGTTATCCATCGAGATGTAGCCACAGCACGAGAACTTAAATGGTTCGAAGACTACCCAGCACTTCCCATCTGGCAGGCTATGGCTAACATACCCCAACAATGCCTGAAATTGCAAAAACGACCATGGACGATACGTGACCGCCTCATGTCTCTAGATCTGACCAGGGAATGGCAAAGTGTCTGGAGCTCACCTACCATTCCAAATAAGCACATTATTATTGAGCCAACAAGGCGCTGGCTCAGTTTTGATGTGCCACACTGACTTTGGACCACACTGAAGCACATCCAACAAAGTATGAAAGATGCTGCTACTTTATGCACAAGTGGAACATCAAAGACTCCCCTTCATGCGACTGTGGGGTGAACATCCAAACCATCAAACACATTATAACACAGTGCCCCAAATATGGATTCAAAGGTGAACTAGACGATATTCACAGTGTCAGAGAGGAGGCCTTGAAATGGCTCATGGACCTATAACTGCAGCTATAGAATGTTGCTCTGCAGATGCCATATGTGTGCAAAAGAGAGAGGCTGTCCTCATCCAACAGTTTGTCCCGCATTGTCCCCCAGTTCCCTCTGCTCCTCCTGGGGCTCTTCACCCACCTCCCCAGGCCTGGGGGGCTGCAGCAGGGTCCCTCACCCCCCTTGGCTCCTGCCCAGCCCAGGAGTTGCAGTGGGAGGAGCAGAGGAGATGACCTGTGGCTCACAGGAGGGGAGGCAGGAGAAGGGGGCAGCACCACCCCAAGCTACAGGACTCTTTCTCTCCCTCCTCCCCCCACTCCTGTGCAAGCTCATGGGGAGAGGGAGTAGAACTCAGTCTGTCCTCTGCTACAGGTCTGATTGGCTGCTCTTTCCCAGGAAACAAGGCAGGGGGGCAGACAGCCAATCGGGGGGCTACCCCTCCTGCAGGGCTGAAGTCCAGGAGAGGGCTGAAGCTGCTCAGGAGGTGGGATGGGGTGGGTGAAATCCCCTGATGCAGGAAGAAGACATCAGGAGAGTTGGTAAGAGAGTCAATCTGCTCCCTCTGCCTCTGCAGTACCAGACCTGGGGAGGGGCAGAGGGGGATGAGGAGCCCTGGAGCTGCAACCCCCTCCCCCAGCCTGCAAAGGGAAGAGGAGACTCTGCAGGGCCCAGAATCACCAAACTCTTTACATTTGGGAAAGTGGGCAACACTAACAGTCACACACACACTGGGGTGGGCACAGGGCCGGCTCTGGCTTTTTGGCCGCCCCAAGCAAAAAAAAAAAACGGGGCGGCCCGGACGGCAAAGCAAAAAAAAAAACCCGCGGCCCGGCGGGGGCACGGGGGCAGGGAGACCGGCGGGGGGGGGAGGGGAGGGAGTGGGCGGGAGAGAGAGAGAAGGGGGCGGCCAGGGCTACAGCAGGGGCGCTGCCACGCGGCCCTTCCCGCTGCGCCGCCTCCTGCCGCCTGCCGCGAGGGCTCCGCTCCGGTCGGCGGGGAGGGAAGGAAGAAGACTGCCCTGCAGGGCGCTCTGGTTCTCCGCGCCGCCGCCCCCTACAGGGCGGCCGGAGCGGAACAAGAACAACAACAACAACAAAAAGCGGCCGTGCCGCCCTAGGATTGGGCAGAATGCTGCCTCCAACAATCTGCCGCCCCAAGCACCAGCTTGCTCAGCTGGTGCCTGGAGCCGGCCCTGGGTGGGCAGGGGAAGGTCAGAAAATCAAACCAGATCAAAAAGAACAGTATCTTTTAAAACCCTCATGTTGGGGGTCTAATTAATAGTTTTTGAACTTCTGGAGTCCACGACCCTGGTATCTATTGACAGCCTTAAGTATTTAAAAATCATGAGTCAGGTCTAAAATACAATGATTGGCTTAAAGCTCATGAGATTTTTTTTTAAATAATATGGGGTTTTTATTGGCTTTCCGGTTTTCAAGCTTTTCTCTATAAACATGGGGGCTAGAATATTTTTTTTAATGAAATATTTTTACCTACTCAGAGGATTCTAGTAACAGGTGCTACGAAAATCCCCAAATAATGTGCAACTTACACTAAAATCACATGTAACCCCTTTGGGGTTTAGAGAGCATGGCCCTTTAAATCTTTTTCCTAAGGGGGAGGGGGAGAGTAAGAAAAAAGGAGGGAAACTCCAGGGGGCAGCGCTGGAGCTCCAAGGAGAGGGAGAGGCAGCCTGCAGGCCCTGGAAAAGTGAAGGAGCAGAGAACCTGCCCGAGGCCTGAGACAGACAGGGCCGATTGGGGACACGAGCCAGGAGGAGCACTGTGCCAGGGGGGTAGGGTGACCAGATAGCAAGTGTGAAAAATCGGGACGGGGGTGGGGGGTAATAGGAGCCTATATAAGAAAAAGACCCAAAAATCAGGACTGTCCCTATAAAATCGGGACATCTGGTCACCCTACAGGGCGGAATTGCCGAGAAGGACAGGCCGGAGCTGGATCCAGTATCACGGCTGCCCAGAGCTGCATGGGGCTGTAAGTACTGGGGCTTCTGACTCTGCATTGGGAACAAGGAGGGAGGCTGTAGCTAGTTAAGTGGGGAGGTGGTCGCTCTGTGTGGCTTTGCAGAGAGCGGCAGAAGAGGGCACCGGAGGGGTTTGTTGGGGGAAAGTTCACTGGCGCCGAAGACGACCAGGAGCACCCAAGACTCACCACTGTATTGGAACTTTGCTCAGGACTCCTGAACATTGTGTGCAGACACATTGCTCAGTGTCTGCCCTTCCAGACTGCGCTACCACTGGGCCTGTGGGACCTTGGCTTGGATGCAGCCCTGTTTTACTGCTCCCCCTATATTTCCCCTTGTTGTTTTTCTCCTCTCATCCCTCTGTAAATAAATATTTCCCTTGTTATATCCACTGTACTTTTCTTGTGGGTGTGTGTGTTCACTCTGGGGGGTTTGGAACAGGTGCCCCTGGGGTGGAAAGGATTTCTCCTGCTGCATTCCTGCGCGTGCCATCTCTTGGCCAGAGCTGCCTGCAGAGCAGACTCCATCTTGGCCACGAGGGTGCTAAAGTTACACACATGAGTTGGAAACACTACACAATAGAAAGTGGAACCAGGTTTAGGCACTTTTTAGAGAACTGTACCTTTTAGACAAAGGATAGATGTAAGACAAAGTCCAGTAAGGTACCATCAGTGGTTTGGAATGACAGAACAGAAAGATGAATGAAGCTGTGAAGCAGGTACAAGATAGAAAGTGGTGGAAAGCCTTCATTTGGCCCCACTGTTGCCATTGTGCTGACAGATGGGAATCGAAGAAGAAAAAGGCGGGTTGGCTGATTCAGCAAGAACTTGCCTTGAGATCTGTTGCTTCCAGAGCTGATCAGGTTAGCAGTGTTGTGACTCACTAACATAATAAACAGCATATTCTCTCACTATGATACACATTTCTGCTTCTGCATTTCTCACCCTCCCTACAGCTTCCACCCACTACTGGTGGCCAGGGGGGCTTTACTCTTTCCAGTTCCAATGCAGGTCCTTACAAGTGTCTGTATACGAGCACTGATTGGGAATAAAGCACTGGGTTGTCAGTAATTGCCAAGAGAAATTGAGTGAGCATGCTCAGCTCTGCCATCTCAGCCCCTCACTCATCTAGACATAACCTGAATAGACATCAAGGGGCATTCATTAGGTTATGCTCTGTTGGCAGGGCATACTTAATGAATAGGGGCATACATCTGTCTCGCCCCTAACTTGAGACAAAACTGCTGACCTTTAAGGGTTTTTCCCCCCCATAACAAGGTCACAATCTTTGTAGCCTATTGAACAAGACTCCTGTATGATTTTTCACTAATTTGACTATATATATATATATATATAATTTCCAATATAATCAAAGGTGGGAGATTTCAGAGTAGCAGCCGTGTTAGTCTGTATCCACAAAAAGAACAGGAGTACTTGTGGCACCTTAGGTGGGAGAGTAACCTGGGCTGGGTTCTGAATGGTTTTAAAACATTAAATAAATTTAAATACACATTACAAAATAAGGTTTTGCTCAAAATAATGGGCATCAGGCTTTCAGCATTTTTTAATCAGCCTTATTAATAATGTACTGGAACTAAGAATTACTGCCGACTAAAAGAGATTGGCTTTGTAACTTGGCTGCAT